TCTTCCATGTTAGCGGCGCCAACCACCGCACGGCACAATGCCGACTCGGAGGGGCAAGAAGGTCGGCAGACCCTTGACAGCGCAGCATTGCAGCATGCTTCGAGAAGCTCTTGAGTCGAGAAGCTTAATCGCTGTACTCAACTCTGAACAGCGACCCGTGAAGACACAAGAATACGATATTGTTGTTATCTGCCCAATTTCGAATATCCATGTTTTGCGGTTCGAGGATCGACATTACGGGCGTCAATAGAGTGTTGGACGGCCTTTGTTAGTTAGAGCGTTGGAGCGGGCCGAGTCATTTCATGCCACCTAGCGCAAGTGCGACGAGTCCAACGGCTGACGGACAAAGAATTAAGAACACAACAAAGAAAGAGCGGGAGGGCTTATGGCGGGAACGCGTTTCTCGAGGGATGGTCCGCAGCCTGAACCGGAACGACAAACTAGCCACTTCAGCTGACTCTGATGACCCTAAAGGCTTGCCGTACGGCCTCATGTTCGCATCGTATTAGTCTAACGGCCGAAGAGGATGCAGCGGAGAGGCCGAGGCAAGTGACGCCGAAGGCTGAAGTCAAGCCTTCGGCCGGTACGGTTGAGAATCAAGCTCGAATAGACTTCGCCAAGAAAATTCGGGTTCGGGTCATAATCCTGACTCGGGGTTCCGAATAGATAGCTGGGCTAATATGGAGCAAATGAGAGATCGGGCCCAACATGGGACAAGGCGCCCTAGAAAACGCTGTGGCTGACGAAGGGAAGATCTGAATCTTACGTCCGTATACTAGACTATCCGTAGACCTCGATATAGTCATCCGAGACTCCATAGCTCCGCTGCTCCGCTATCAACGCCGCTGCTGTTGCCACCACATCGACGTCGGCGGCGGGGTCAGGCGAGCTACCTCTCATGTGGATGCCTGCTGCAAAGCGTGGGGTAGACTCTAGAGTAGGCGGCGACAGCAACCTTGACATTCGGAAGTCGTAACTCGACGAATAAAGTCACGGTCCGGATACCCGTCCCTTGCTGGCGGAGGGAGCTAGGAACCTCCCGACGAGGTTCTTGCATGCAGCACCTTTCCCCGCCGGCATCATGAGCTGAGATGCGAGGTCGAGATGGACTAGACTCACGACCCACGTTCCGGGAGTCACAGGCTGTCATGCCCTCTAGGCTTCGGCGCAAGTAGACATCTGCCTACAGTACCTAGCCATAAGGACTGCTACTCGGCGGCGCCAAGGCCGACGCGGTTCAAATATTGGGCAAAGGAACGCCGGTTGTCTTTGGGCATGCCGAAATTCTCATGCCGACGGCCTAGATCACCATCGCATGGGTACGTTAGGTGAGAGTTTAGGCAGCGTTTCAACAACGCGGTTGCCGGCTCACGACTGCCCATGATCGAGTGCTGTTGAGTTCAACAGTCAAAGATTCAGCAAACTTTGCCATAAGATCTTCAGGTAATGCTGGGACTTGCATCTAGGCATGGGACGAATAACCCAGAAATTAGTTTCCAAGAGATGCCACCTTGCTGATCCGTAGTATATCTCGTGCTCAAGATCAAACTCCTATATCCTAAGTCCTAAGTCCTAACTCGAAATTGACAATGATAGCCAAACCGTCCTCCCAACAATATCTCGGCCAGGTATTCATTATGATGTCGATCCAATTTGGCCTAGGTGTCTCTTCAAACTTGCAAAAGAGGCAACTTTTACCTGGACGCCAAGATTCTAGGATAGCACAGCGCCACATTTGAGCTGGATCTAGGCCTATATTCTGGTTGAGACTTCGGGTCTTGGCTCCCTAGTCATAGCCTTGTATTGTAGTTCTCGTGACAGATCATCTCACGCTATTCGCGCTGATAACCTGTTTGAGTGTAGGAAGGGAGAGATTTCGATGGGAAGGGAATCCCGCAGGTTGCGCAGGCGTTGGCCACCGCACACTTCCGAGACCCTGGATGTGATAATTGATGGTAATGTGATAGCTTCAACTCATAGCAACCGTAAGTTGCCACAGCTCGGCGACCTCGGCGGCCGGCCTGGCCACTCGCAAGCCTAGCCAATTTCCCAGTCGACTTGATGCAAGGAGGTCACATCAAAGACATCCACCTAGCCAAATCAGTTGAAGCTATAATTAGTTGAGGATGCTCGAGGGCCCAAAACATGAGATGATGCAGTGTATGGCATGTCTTTCTAATAGTCACACGACGCTGGGAAGTGCCAGCTAGCCTTTTGACCGGCGAGGGATCTCCCATGAAATGTGTCAATGGTACATCAGAGCAAAGAGCATATACCGGCTTTTATGTTATAGCACGACTAAGGTAATTAGCAAATAGCGACATCGTGACGTTGCTTGAACATACCTCCTTGTTTTACGGCCTTTGGTCTTCCGTCTTATGGCCCTTATCAATAGTCTTAGTTCAGGCTTGAACTACCTTACCACGTTTACGATCATCGTGGTAGGCTGCTACTCTGCGAGCTTTAGCTGCGCCCTGAACACAAACACATGTACCTATCTTGACTGGAGCCAAGATTGACAATGCACCAGATTGGTAGCTGTGGCTCTTCCAGGTTTATTTGTCACAACATCGTGCGCAGCCTCGAGATACCTTCCCGTCGTTCCCAAGCCCTTATTCAAGTGGCAGGGATCAGGACCAGAGATGTCACCCACTTCGCCGATGTTTTATGGACCATCACTCAGAGCAATCAAAATTGAAGAAGATGATGATGATTGATGTGCGATTCTGAAGTCTTAATCCTTGAGGAGTAACAGAACTATTCAAAGATGAGAAAGGCCTGACCAAAGTGCCCCCCTATGCCACCAACTCCGTAGAAAGACTTTTGTAGTTTACATGCGGGTATCAAGATAAGTTTCAGTTTCACCTCCCGATGGGGTAGTTGAACATGAGGAGGCCATTCAGACCCCCAACCCAGCCATCGTCATCATAGTCCGACGCGTCGCCCTTGCCTGGTCCGCAGATGACACACGGCACACCTCCTTTCCAGTCACCATTGCTGGACTCTCCGACCATCTCGCCTTCGACACGGATTTCGGTGCCGATACCTGCGCCGGCGCTTCGCTTGCCGTCGATACTAACCTCGAGCTCGCCATCGCGGTTCTTGCTGCTGACTTTGAGCGTGACCTTTGTGTTAAGGGGGAGGACCAAAGGTCGGAAGCTTAAACTTCGTGGACAGATTGGTGTGATGAGAAGCGATTTGACAAGGGGGTGTATGATGGAACCGCCGGCGCTCAGGCTATAGGCGGTAGAGCCTGTAGGGGTGCTCAGTAATATGCCATCTGCGACAGCTTCCGTCAGGAATCGGTTATTAAGGTAAATGTCGATATGGGCAAGGTGAGGCTTTGGCCCCCGGTGAATGAGAAGTTCGTTAAGAGCGTGGATTGGTTGAGGAATGTCACGTTTCGAAAGTATGGTGTCCTCGGGGTGTTCGGCTGGTAGGTGTGCTTGTGACTTCGTCGTCGGGAGTAATTGGCTGCTGATGTTCTGGCCGTTGTTGTCGTACACGCCGACGCGTAGTCGGTGTCTAAGCAAAATCTTGGCTGCCCGACTCTGTCCCATACTCTTGCCAGGTGATGCGTGCCATCCAGACTGAGCCCCATCCTTGACGTCGTGCTCCTTCTCTCCGCTTGCGACTCTTGTGTGTGGCGTCAATAGATCATCCGCGGCGACGCCACTCCCACTCATGTAAGCCTCTCTCCAGGCCCTCTTGTATTCCTCGAACTTCCACTCTGCCAGGAACCCTATTGTACCAAAGTTGAATGCAAGAATGGGGGGCACGGCTTGGTACATGCTGAAATGGCTTGCGGCGCGCAGAATGGTTCCGTCGCCTCCAAGCGTCGTGATCATGTCGATTCTGTCCGGGAATGCCGATGGGTCGCACGTGTAGATGGGGAAGTTGAAGGACTCGTGAACCATCTGAGCGACTCTTGGCTCAAATATCAGGTTCAGACCAGAGTATGTACTTTGTAGGTGCTTCGCAAAGTCGATGGTCGCTCGTAGGACTTGAGGGGACCGCAGCTTCGGCATCAAGAGGATATTTCGCGGAGGCGTCGGCCAGTGTAGAGATAGCAGGCCAGAGGTCGAGTTCGGAGGGTCGCGGTATTTCGGAACAACTCTGGGCGGGAGGGAGGAGACATCGCGAATCTCGGCAGCTCGAACAGCCGCGGTCGTCGAAAAGTGCAACGGTCGAAATGCTCGAATCTGCGCCGCAGCCCGCGGCCTGGCGCACAGGCGGAAGGCTCCTGACCTTGACATTGTCGTAAATCTGTAGTTCAGGTAGAGAGGTGCGAAAGGTAGCGGATGTCACTCATGGTCGAGTGGCGTGCTCTGGGCCGCTGCGTAAACAGTTGACTGAGCGCGAGATGTGGTGGTGGGAATGGTTGCGCCGCGATGAACTGCCAATGACGACAATTCCATTGGAGAGCCCCACTCTAGCTTTTCTTCCGCACCTCACCGAGCTGAGTCATCCAGCTCAGGCACTTCACCGAAGACGCCGAGTCGGTGAGTCTCATCTCGGAACGTTGCTCCGATCACATCGGCCCCACACCCCGCTCCCGGACCGGCACCATGAAGTGTAGGTCAATTTGGAGAGATGATTACGGCAGTCTGGGAGAATGATTATACAAGAGTGTGGTAGTGAGATATCTGGCTATGTAATCTTATGATTTCTTTCCGTTCGTCTATCCCATACCGGACATCCTTTACATCTACATTTAAGTCTATTTCTTTGAGAGCGCCATCATTCTGTCTTTCAGCTGTCTCCCAGCAAGTTGCCCGAGCTGATCGAAGCTCTGCGCGCTTGTCAGCTGCAACACACTTATGTCTACACCAAGCGTGTGTTTCCACCAATTACGGATCTCAATGGTCATGAGAGAGTCGACTCCAAGCGCTGAAGGTGACAGAGTGGTGTCAATCCCGCCTGCATCCACCTCACGCATGAGGAACCCAGATACCCGACGCGCGATTTCTCGCGCGAGATATGCCGTTGACGCCGTTGTTTCAATCTCTTCCGGTCTCGACTGCAGACTAGATAGGAATTCAGCTAAGCCCGATGACCCAGCCTCCTTCCGAGACGCCCTCTCATTCTCCGCAATGTCTGGATATAGGTTCATGCGAGAGTCGTGCTTCCACACTACTCGATTGCCAGAATCATTGATGGAAGTGCTGCAGTCAAGACCAAGTACCACTTGGCCACTTACAGCTGACCGGACTGTCTCAGTCTCTGCACCCGTTACCACTGGCCGACTCTCAGCGATGGCGAGCTGAACACCTCGGAGCATGTCGGCTTCGGAAACCAGCTTGGAGCCAGATTTTGTCATGACATCTTCCACTTCTTGTGTACGACTGACATATCCCACATCCTCGACGCCTCCTAGGTCAACCACAGAGCAAGGCTGACCCAGACCCCGGCGGTACTGAGCAAATGCATCGAGGAAAGTGTTGGCAGCTGCGTAGTTTGCTTGACCTGGGTAACCATGTACACCCGATGTGCTACCAAAGAGCACAAAGAAGTCAATGTCATGAGGCAGAGCACGATGGAGGTTCCATGTCCCGCGTATCTTGGGTGATGTTGCCGTTTGCCACTGTGACAGTGTTAGATCAGAAAGTGCACCGTCGGCAAGCACCATTGCCAGGTGCAGGACACCCGCGATCCGCTTGGATGAACCGAGTCTGGAAATGACAATTTGCGTGGCCGGCTCGTCTGCTATGTCGCATGGTACGGCATCGGCCTCGCAACCTGCATAACGAAGTTCTGACAGCAGAGCTTGATCATCATTGCTGCGTCCGGCGGATCTGGAGATGAAGAGTAGACTTTTGGCACCGTGGGAGGCCATCCATCGTGCTATTGTACCTCCAAGACCACCCATACCGCCGACAAGTACGTAAGTAGCTTGCTCACGGAACTTGGGAATCATAGGCACTCGAGATACCTCAAATGCCGCGTCATCGTTTTCGGTCATGTCGAGGACCACCTTTCCAGTATGGGTACCCTGGTACAAGTGTCGGAAGGCGTCTTCAGCTTCACGACATGCGAACACCTTTGCAGGCCTCACGGACTGAATGTGATTTTGCTGATACAAGTCCACACATTGCTGCAGCAAGCGATGAATGATGGCGGGGTTCTCAACGGCCAGATTCGCCATCTCGACGCCAATAAAAGATCGGTTTCCATCAAAGGCTGCCATGGCAAGTTTTCCGCCCGCTAGGGTGTCTTTCTTCCCCAGCTCGATGAAGGTGCCATGAGGAGCGACACAATCCCATGATGCATGGAGAAGCTCTCCAGATAGAGAGTTCAACACAACGTCAACGCCGAGACCACCAGTCGCTGCTTTGACGCCCTCCACAAAACTGATGTCTCGAGAAGAGAAGATGTGCTCCTTGGGAATATTCCACTCTCTGATAAGAAAGTCTATCTTTTCGTCGCTGCCCACAGTCGCGTAGACTCTGGCTCCGATCCATCGAGCTACTTGTATGGCCGCAATACCAACACCACCGGCGGCGCTGTGGATAAGCACAGTTTGACCAGCACTAAGACCAGCTTTTTCTACCAGGGCTCGGAGGACTGTGATGAAAATGCAGGGCATTCCAGCCGCTTCAGAAAAGGCAAGTGTGCTGGGAATGCGGACGCAAAGCTGTGCTGGAACCAGTATCTCCGTGGAGAAGCAGGCGGCCTCGGGTGCGAAGATCATAACGCGATCACCAACCCGAACATCCATCACAGAAGTTCCAGCAGACGTCACAATACCGCTGGCTTCACATCCAAGTCCTTTCATAGCTGAAGGCTTGATCAGGCCCATGGCTGTCACAACGTCTTTGAAGTTGAGACCTGCTGCGCGGACATCGATCTTGACGTGGTCGGATGGTATCTCGTCGGGCAATTGACGAGACACCCAGTGGAGAGTCTGTAGGGCCCCGGGCCTCGAGATTTGCAACATCTTGCTAGAAGAGACCGAAGGCTTGGACGAAAGAGCGCGAGAGATTGGTGTCCACTTGCATCGCGGGATCAAAATGCGGCCCGAGGTGTAGGAGAATTCCACATCTTCACCCATATTCGAAGCCAAGGCTGCGTGTTGGGAGATAAGTCTCCTTGAGACTTGAGACACGGCTTGCAGAGAATCTGCCGTGATGCTGTCAAGCTCCATAGTAGCGAATTGTACACCCATCTCAACTCTTGCTGTTCTCGCGATGCCGAGCACCGGAGCGAAGGTCGGATCGACGGACCCGAGTTGGCAGGGTCGCGTGAGCCAGAGTAAGATCGAGTTGTTATCTTGAAGAGTCTTCAGCAGCCTCTTGAGGATATCTAGCTTGATTTCTGTCATGTCATGAAAATAGCCATCATCGCGGCACAGGTCAATCACAGACACCACTATGCTACCGGCTTGCAGGTTTTTACAACCTGCATGTGGCGTGGAAATGGTGATGGGGTGACCTAGACCCCACAAGGCTTGATCGATTTCGGCCACCACTGGATGTGACTCTTCTTCGCAAAGCAAGGTCATTTGCCCTGAATTGAAATCACTTTCCTTAGGCGCAGCAGGACGAGAAATGATGGTAGCATTGAGCTTGTGTTGAGGCTTAGCATCGTAGACAACCTTCGGAGTTGAAAAGCCAGCCAGAGATAGACGTTCCTCCCATTGCCTGGGAGAGATGTAAGGCTCGTCTGGGCGGCTGTCAGAGTTGCCGAGCCACCATCCTGAAAGGTGACCCATGATGAAGTTGATCCATTTTGTGTTGCAGCACAACTCGTGCATCAGGAGTCTCCCGTCAGGCTTCAGCAATGATCTGACATGCTGCAATGTCTCGTCCAGCTTTGGAGTGGCATGGAGCACATTACTCGCAACGATGAGATCGTAGTCTTCGCGGCCAAACCCCTGAGCAGCTGGATCGCGACTAATATCCAAGACACGATAGTCCAAGAGTCCAGGAGCTATGTCATGAAAGCGCTCTTTTGCTGCCGGGAAGAACCCAGCAGAGACGTCAGTGAGAACGTAGGTCCCTAGCACCTTGCCATCTTCAAAGCAGCCTGTGAGATCTTTGAGAATGCGCGAAGTCAAACCTCCGGTTCCGGCGCCGATCTCAAGAATTTTGAGATGGCGGCCTCGTTTGTGGGATAGAAGTTGCAAAAAAGGCTTGTAGGTGAAAAGAGTGTTCATCCAGTCATACAGTTTATGAAGTGCGTTGTCTTTCAGGAATACCTCGAGAGGGCTGCCTGTCCCGTTGAAGAGTTCTTGGGCATGTGTGTAACAACGCTCTATGAGAGTAGCCACTGCTGATGCAGGGGTCTTCTTCAACCTCAAGACGATGCCTTTGATCTTCGCATGAACCTCTCCGGCATCTTCATGAAGCAGTTGGGGACTACATTTGCTGATCTGGGATCGCAACCAGGTGTAGTGCTTTGTCAAATGTGTTTGGACCTCGGTAATCGGTATGTCTGCTGCGTCTACTTCTTTGAGTGCCGCTGCGCCGCAAAGTACAAAAAGCTCTTCCAGTTGCTGATGGATCTCTGGGAAAGAAGAGTCGGAGGCAGGCGACACCACGTCTGCTGTCATGTCAATGTCTTGTTCCCAAGCCATGACAGCAACCTTCGAACTACCCGTCGCTCCCGCAACAGCATCTTCTAGTTCAATTGGGGAGAGTCGGAGGCCTTTCATGAAGACGACTGGTTCCTCTGCTGGACGATCGAATATTGTCCCAGAGCAATCCCCCAGATAGTCTCCTTTACCGCCAGACGTGATACTCTGAAGCAAAATGTTCTTCTTCGAAGCTTTCGAAATGATGAAAAGCTCATCAATACGAGTCGGCAGATATAGCCCGTCAAGCAAGCGAGGCTCCCCTGAGTGGTTCGCGACGATGAGAGACTGAAGCATCTGATCAATCGTGGCTGGATGTAGAGCATAACGATCTTGATGCTCTAGAGTACCTCTTTTATCAGAAACTTCGACCGATACAGCTGTTGACTTGACGCTGGCACGAATCTTTCTCATGCCTCGGAACTCCGGACCATATCTGTATCCGACCCGCGACATGGCTTTATACCATCGCGCAGGCTCCACAGAACGAAGGAAGGACTCTGCGTCAAGTCTAATGATATCCGGGCCTTTGGAGACCTGACCACCCCTGGCACGACATCTGCAGTGCGTTGTCCATATGCCGGATGGAGTACAACTCTGAATCGTGAGATCCCACCACTCGGAAGTCTCCTCGTGAGTGAGCTCTTCTTTTCTCATAGAAGTAAAAAGCTCGACTTTGCTTTCTTGAGAAAGAACGAGAGCATTCGCAATCCGCAAGTCCCGGACAGTGTAGGATGACTCCCCAGAAAGTTGTCGGATTGATTCACCAGCCATCGCGATGTACGCGGCAGCTGGGAACACAACATCCGAGCCGACGCAATGGTCCAGAATCCAAGGAACCTTGTCTAGTGAGAGAAGACACCTCCAACTAGGTGCTGTACTCGAACTTCCCAGCGTGCGTGATCCGAGCAGTTCGTGTGGCGGGTGTTCAGAAAACTGCCAGGACTGAGTTACGCGTGAATCTGGCCAGAAGGTCTTGCTCAAATGCCATGGGTATGGTGGGAGGTCTCTCAACGGCCGCGCCCCATCAGGGATGGGAAACTTGACGGGAACGCCTCGGCAGTGCAGCTCGCCAATGGCAGCAAGAAAGGCTGCTGCGCTGTTAGAGCCTCGCTTCTGCACGGACAAGTAAGGCGGAATGATGGCCATCTCTGTGTATATCTGTTTCAGGGGACCGGCCAGCGCTGAGTGTGGGCCAACTTCTAAGTGTAATGTTGTCGATGATGTTTGGAGCAGTCGTACCACAGCTTGTCGGAAGAGGACTGGTGATTCCAGGTTTCGCTGCCAATACTCGGCACCAAAGTCGGAGCCTCGCTCAAGCGTTTGGGATGAGACGCTGGAGTAGAAAGGGACGTTTGGCGATTCGGGACTCAGGTGGGACTTGATAAGAGATTGATACTCCGTGCCAACTGCACGCATGTGATCTACGAGAAGGTGTTATCAGTCAAATGCTTGTAGGGAAAGTCTTCATTTTGGACTTACGAGAATGATATGCCTTGTCGACCTTAAGCAAACGAACCAGCGCCTCTGGCCGAGCAGACCTGATTGCGCTGCAGACTGTCTCAAGGGCATCCGAGTCTCCAGATAAAGTCACACTAGAGTTACTGTTCTCACAAGCGATGACGACTTTAGTCGTCAAGAATGGTTCAACTTGCTCTCTTCCCAATCCAATGGCCGCCATAGAGCCTTGAGATTCTAATTTTTTAACCATAGACCCGCGGTAGTAAGCGACGATAATTGCTTCTTTAAGCGTGAGCACACCAGCCGCGTATGCAGCTGCAATCTCACCACTAGAATGACCAACGACAGCCTTGGGTGCAATCCCATATCTAGCAAGATGTCTTGTCAGGGCAATCTGAACTGCAGTGCAAATGGGTTGGGCAAATTCTGCCTCCCCGAGGCGAGAGGTGGAATCTGATCTCATGAGCTCATCTGGTACATGTCATCGTTAGCTGATCTTCCTCATTGGCGATTTCTGTGTAAGGATGCACTGACTCCTGATATCCCAGCTTGGACGGTGCTCTTGTGGAAGACTCTTCAAGACGGCGTCCATGTCCCTGATATCCTGCAGGAAGTCTCTAATACTTTTCATCAAATGCGAACCCATCCGGGCCCATTGAGCGCCTTGACCGGTGAAGACGAATGCGATGCCCTCAAATTGAGAGCTTGGGCGGAAACTAGGTGTGGGCGGAAGGGTGAAAGCCAATTGGTTGCAGTCATCGGTCACGACTGCAAAAGTGCGATGCGCTAAATGAGAGCGACGATGCATCAACGTGTATGAAAGATCTTCCAACTTTGCAGGCCTGGCTCGGAGAAACTCCTGGTGGTCGTGTACAGTTCTCTTGAGCGACTCTTCGTGCCCCGCAGAGAATAGCAGCAGAGTCGCTGGCTCTCTCCTCAGAGGTGGTGAAGGAGGTGGTGTTTCGACATTGCCGTGGCTTCGAACCGTGGTCGAACTTCCTACTGATGCAGCAGATTCTAAGATTATCTGGTCATGTCAGCTCTCGAATCTCGAGGATATTGACGGGCGCTATACATGGACATTGGTGCCTCCGATTCCAAAGCTATTGACACCTATTCTTTCTGCCCTTTCTTCAGGCCAGGGCTGCGGTTCTGTTGGCACCTTCAAGCCTGTTGATGTGAAAGGAACTGTTGTTGCTGCTCAGTACCGGACGCCGTGAAAGATGAACGTCATGAACTTACTGCTGACACTAGGGGTATCGAATTTGATATTAGGTATAATGGTTTTCGTTTCCAGAGATACCACTGCCTTGATTATGCTTGATATCGCCGAAGCTGCTTCAGAATGGCCGAGGTTGGGCTTAATCTGAGAAAATGTCAACAGCTATTGGTAAAGCGAAGCCATGACACTCACGGATCCAATGAGCATTCCTTTTTCTCCGAATACAGCGCCAATAGTGCATGCCTCAATGGTATCGCCCACAACCGTGCCGGTGCCGTGGCATTCAACCATGGCAGTCTGCCATATCTCGTTCTCTGGTATACCTGCGTGTCGATATGCGTCGCGAATCAACTGCTGCTGTGCCTGTGCACTCGGTGTGGTCAGGCCAAGGGTCCTCCCGTCAGAGTTCGTTGCTGACCCTCTGATGATGGCACGAATCGGGTTCCCGTCGCGGATCGCGCAGTCGAGCTTTTTGATGTAGAGGCAATTGATGGCTTCTGCACGGGCGTACCCGTTAGCACTGGCGTCGAACGTCTTGCATGAAGCATCGGGCGAAAGCACGCTCTGCTCGGCCATGAGTTTGGTGAAGCCTGGCGAGAGCATCAAATTCGCCCCGGCGACAATCGCAGAGTCGCATTCTCCGGCGCGTATTGCCTGGCTGGCTAGGTGGACTGCTAGACCAGCAGCTGAGCATGCTGTGCGGACGGTCATGCTATTGAGGAAGAAACGATTAGCTTGCACGGAACTCTTTAACTAAACGGGCGAACCAGAATCACCTAGGCCCTCTCAGATCAAAGGCATGAGAAATTCGGTTTGCCTGCACAAAATCCATATATCCTGTCAAGCGATACATGCCATCGTCTTGAGCATCGACGGCGTGCATTTCTCGCCAGTCATCTCCAAAACTGCCTACATAACACCCAATCCTCTGGCCCTGCCAGTCTGTTTCTGCAGCACTTTCCAGCGCCTCCCAAACGACTTGCAGAAGCAGCCGCTGCTGAGGGTCTAGTTTCAGCAACTCTTTGGGGTTCATAGAAAACAGTGATGGGTCGAATTTGGATACATCGTCGTGTGTAAGCCAGTATCCTTCCTCGGTCGGCAAAGGCCCTGACTTCCCACTTGCTGTGAACTGGTGGGTTTCTGAGCTGTATCGCGGGTGATCTGGTTTGGAACGCGCATCTTTGCGGTTGATGAGAAAGTTGTACAGTGCAGTTGGGGTATTGATGCCGCCTGGTAACCGCAGACCAATGCCGCAAATCGCTATGGGCTCTGGCTTTGACATTGCTAATGCTCAAATTGGGGATAAGCTTCTTGTGGCAGTGAATGCGAATGTAAATATGATGATCAGTAGTTCGATGGTATGAGCATCAGACACCTTGGCCTCCAGTGTTCTACGCAAATCTTCAGCTTCGGCTTCTCTATTGCTGTGATGAAAGCTCACTATTCCACTCAGCCCGCTCTGTTCCGAGTGGAAAATGCAGCGAGACCGACCTGCAGTGTGAACAGGATTTCCACATGGTTACTGTCCTGGTGAATTCCCTCCAGGTGCCTGGATGATGGTTCGGACCGCAAAAAGCACCATGTTATAATTCGGACCGGGACAACTAGCGGGTATGATCCCTATGGGCGAGAGCTCCCCTACCACCATACCCAACTGAAGTGGTTCAGTTACTTTGCTGCAGGAGGACGTTTGGCACAGGGTTCATCCGACTAACATCTTCCAGCATCAGGTGAATCCAACGATCACCCCTCATAGAGAGATATTTTACGAACTTCTATACCTGTAGAGTGATACTTGATTATTTGCAGGATCTTTTAGCATATGAACCCGAATTCTAGGCCATGGAAAAGTTGAGGTCGGTCTTCTGGCAATCTACGCCAAAATACAACGCTGTACGCACAAGCCAGTCCGACGATGACGACCCCCAAGAGGGCGTGGAAGAAAAGCTACGCAGTGAGCTGGCGGCATTGGAGAGCAACATTTGGTGTCTGCGCGTCAGTCTACTCATCACCATTGTAGCCCTCCTTCTTGTGACCGTTTTCGCAGTGGTCGATAGAGTTTCATATGATAAAGCGTCACTTAATTGCGGGAAGGGGCACATAGGTAGTGACCCGAATGGGTTCGTGCCTCCAGGTGAGCCGCCTCTTCCTGAGTGAAGCAAGCGCGACGATAGCTTGACTTACAAGTTGGTTTTAGGGATTGGTGAGCCACCGCGGTGGACGCTGTTTGACAGCACATCGCCATATTATATTGAGGAGGACACTTTCTATGATTTGAACAAAACCAAAATGATGGCGAAAAGGTTGAAGAGCCTTCACAACTGTATGTCCATGTATTTCCTCTACGTTTTTGAGCACGCCGCTTACGAATTACCAGCCTCAAACGTCCTTGTGAATGGAAACTTTGCAGATTGGAAGAAGCCGGACGGCACTGTAGCGAAGCTGCCAGCATATTATTCTACAGTATCATATCGACAAACATACATCATCCGGTCTTTTCACCAGATGCATTGTCTAGTGAGTGACAGTACTACTTATTGACCAGAGTTCTTCTAATGACCTAGTAGATCTCGATTGCAGAAGAGTATGGACATAGGGCAAACAATGTATCGTCGCAGTGGGCTCCTAAGCACATAGCCCACTGTCTAAATGCGATCCGCGAAGCCATCATGTGTTTAGCGGACGCTACGCCAATGACCTACGTGAACGGCTTTGCCGTCGGGCATGTCACGGATGACCAGCAATTCATGTGCAGGGACTGGTCAGCGCTGCGCAAATGGGCGAACGATCCGGTGAGGGGAATTCGCTATAAGAACGTCGCGCCTGAGGGGGCGGGCTATGACAACAACACTGAGATTATCCCTTTCCCAGAGCTTTCAGAGTTGGAGAAGGTCGGCCAGGCATGAGCTTGGGCGCATATCTACCAACTAATTCGAGGCCTCGGATTAGTGGGTTTAGTAGAGATGGCACCGAGATGCGGCGGGTAACGGCAAAAAAGTACGAGGAGGATAGCGCTGTTCATACCTTTCAAAAATAACCGTAACACACTAACAGGACCTTGAAGGAGCCAGAAAAGATCGCATTTCACCGTGTAAAACGCCATCTTTAAGTGAGAGGTAGATGTGTAAAGGGTCCTATTGATGTCCACGTAGAAACTCAGCCTAGCTACGTGTAATGTTTTAACATGTCATTTGTATGTGCTCAACTTTGAATGCTGTCGAAAATGTTGAGCTATCTGAGTGAGGCAAGCCTCTGAACACGCTGTAGAAACCAAATAACACATCCCAGCCTTCGACCAAACCCTACTCTCTCCCAACTACCCGACTAAACAGTCCACCTCATGAGGCTCATTGTACACCCGAGTGATGTTTGGCAAGTCAATTTCCCAAGACTGCGGAATACCGTTGTACAGGATGCAGTGCTCAACATGCTTCGGGTCTCGGCAAAGAGAGTCCAGAACTCGAGGATTGAAATGCGACGCATAAGTGATCCTATCCCAGACATAGCTGCAATGCATGTGATGGATGGTGCCGTCTGTAAAGATTTCGCCGTGTTCGCCACTGGCAGCCACATCAAAGGGAACTTCGTTGATACGTTCTCGCTCGTACCAATACGTCGTGTTCCGCCACTTCATGTAGCCCAAGTATTTCTCGTGCATCTCTTCATTGAAGCATCTGGGGTGCATCCAGGTGGAAAGCATAAAGTCATAGACACAGCCTCGGGCTTTGGACTCTTTCCAGTCTGGAGAGCACTTGCCTAGCGATACAGGCTCGGGGGATCGTGCGGGTGTCATGTCGTGGGTTATTCGCCCAAGGTAAAAGATCCCAACTGCTAGGGGTACGAAGGCGAGTTTTCCGGCTATTGCCCATATGCCGCTGCGCCGCGCTTTACGCTTCTGCGGGACTCCAGCGCTGTAATCCACTGAACCGGTCTCATCATGGTAGCTAGTCCGTTGTGAGCTCGAGGCTTCGCTTTGCGATTGTGGCGGGAGGAAGGCCTGTTTCTCCATGTCGAGAGACGGGTTGGTAGAAGGAGTCCTGTCGGATGGAATGATGCTAGCTAAACGATACTGATTATCGAGGCCACAGTACCTGTAAACAGAACTGTTGATAAGTCAAGATGGTCCTTTGGCATGGATGTGGTGTGTAACATCAGCTGGAGATTGCAAGAGCACAAGTTCGGATACAATTGCGGATAAGGTTGGGGCCATATCTCGGACCGTAGCCACAGTGGGCCAGCATCCCGGCCTGTCAGTGAAATCATGGAGAGCAAACAGTTGGTGGAAAGTTCAGTCCTTTCCGCAGAGATCATTACCTTCAATTCGGTGGGTAGTATCCAAAAGTGTCGCTGCAATATCAACAATCCTCCAATTGCTGGTTGAGACCTTTGCCGAGAATACACCACTTCCTTCACCATGCCCGCAGCAAACCCGGTGTTGATCCAAGACATCCCAAGATCTCGTAATGAGCCGCCACCAGTATTTTTGATCCACGATGCTAGTGGGCTGCTCACCAGCTACTTCAAAGTCGGAACTTTAGGACGGAAAGTTTACGGAATATGGGATCCCAAGTTCGATGCGGACGGCATTGGTGGATGGCAGAGCGTAAAAGAAATTGCAGAAGCATACATTCGCCTCATCAAAAGAGTGATGCTCAGAGGAGAAATCGTCCTCGGTGGTATGTAGCATCGAAATCTTCGCCTATTGCTTCAACCGCTGACCAGAATACAGGATGGTCATTCGGGGGCGTTTTGGCAGTGCAAATCGCCCACATGCTAGCCACCTCAGGCCGTGGCCTGCGCGTGTCGAGGATCATTCTCATCGACTCAGTGTACCCTCGCTGCCCTCGTCCTGAAGCGCAAAAGGAGCCAGCAAAGTTGCATCACGCTCCAGCTCTTCCTGGCATCAACCAAGAAACCCGCGACAAACTCATGACGGCCCTAATGCGAGCGACATGTCTCTCTGACCAGTGGGACCCTCCGTCATGGGCGTTGCCGAGGACCGGTGTTCTCGGTACAGCCCGGTCCCGGGATGTCGACCCGACTCCGCCGCACGCGGTGCTAATCCGAGCCAAAGACTTGGTGCCCATGGCGGACCCGGCTGAGAAATGTCCCCTTGACAGAACTCGGTTCCTGCCTCAACTTGGTTGGGAGGATATGCTTAAAGGATTTGTTGAACAAGTCATTGAGACTTCTGGTAATCATTACAGCGTCTTTGATCCAGAACACGTAAGTGGTCACTGAAGCGAGCCTATTGTGCCAAAACACTTGCTAATCCAACGAGGAAGATCGACACCATCACCGCTCACATTCGGAAAAGTTTAGATATGAATCTTGATTGATAGGAGCAAACATTTGAGGGATGAATATGAGTACTTGGCCTTACAACCGTATTACATGTCCTTATTACAGAGGCAGGACATTCCTCAACATCTTGTTGAACTGATACCTGCCGCTATTAGATGCTGTGAACCCATGGTTCGCGACTGGCAACACCAACCGGATGAACACATCTCCGCAAATCCACCTCCAGGACTTTATGCAGTAACATGATTTTCTTAATGGCATGATTGCTGAGTCTCTAGTCTACGATCTCGTCATATTTATCTTTCTCATCCTCTGGTGCAACATTGACCCATTTCACTGCCCGTACCGGGTCGTGGGCCCACTCCCTCAGCGCAAAGAAGTCCCTACAATGACTCTGTTGATCGTCTGTGGTGTGGCCGACACCCATGCCATGAACGTAGGAAATTGGCGTGGCGTCCGCTAGGCATGTTATCGCTGACCTTACGGTATTCAAACAGTGAATGACATGGCCCGTTTCCCACTTTGACGTCTTATTATTCACCCTGTAGCCAATGTCCTCGAAAATAATTGACTGGTATCAATTGTGTTAGTGGCTCGCTTCTTTCGGCACTCCAGTTGTTTGAGATACTCACTATGCAGTGCATCTGGTGAAAAGCCCGGATACTATACAGTTCTGAACCCTTGCGGGTGACATACGCAGGAAGCGGTAGCTGCTTGTTATCGAAATCCATGTACGTGCTGTATTTTCCGTTGATTCTAACATTTGATGCTGTGCATTGAATTAGCTGGACTAGATCTCATTCAGCATCACCATGTCAACGAACCGTTATGCAGCATTTTGAAACCCCTCGCAGCAGCTTGTACACTTTCGAGGCTCTCAAAAACATCGGGCTTAAAATAGTGCGGATCAGTCCCGTCATCGTACTTGGCCCACTTGACAGGCTGTCCGATTTCTATGCCTCGAGTTAGGGGCGACGTGATAGCGTCAAGAAAGAGCTTGGCTCACCTGGAGGGACAAAACCACTAGGGTCAACTCCCAACGGGATGACTCCTTGTCGAGACCAGGCGGTACCAATATTGAGGAAGACAATGTATCCGAGAAGAATCATCAGCAGAATTCCTTCGGCCAAGGCTAGTCGTTGTATCTTGCGGAGGCGCTGATCCCATAAGACACGATCATGATTCCACTGGTCTGGAAAGGTCGGCGAGTCACCGCGGGGGTCACTGTGGTCTAGGTCCATTCCCCCGAGGCTTTCCAACTCGTCATCGTCCAGATTTTCTCCCTCTTCGAGGACGTCGTACCTGGCCGTTTTCCTCATATTGCTGGCAAAACTAACGGTCTTAGCCATCGCTTCTGACTAGGTAGAACTGAACGCAAAGCAGGATAATTCTAAGCGCAACTGAATAGCGAATCCAATTGCAGCGGTGAGGCTTACCGGGCTCAAGATCCTTAGAGCCGCTTGTTGATCAACCCATAGAGCCACCGAAACTTACAATACAGCTCTTACCCTAACAAACCTGACTGAGTAGCGGACCGAGGTGGCCTGCGTGAAGGTTTAGTAGCACTGTTTTAATCTGACCTGCTCCACCACGGACCGAAGCTTGCACGGAGCTACCCCGCCGTCGGACTTGACTCGGAGCTTTACTTTTCTAATTGGGGTGCAGCCGGATGCAACTGATGTGGTGCGAGCTATTCTTTCGGCCTTGGTCGAGCTCAATGAAGACGAGTTGAACGAAGAACGCAAGCTTCTGAGGTCTCTAATTTCTCCAGAGCAGTTTCGACCTAGGAAGGACGACCCAAACTTGGGTTTAAGCTTTACTCGAGATTTTTGACCACGCTCGAGAATTACCAGATATGGAAGCCAAGAAAAATGAAGTGACTTGGCGTTCTCTGCCGCGAAAGGACCAGCTCGCAATTCTATGTTTTTTACGGTTTGCCGAGCCGGTAGTGAGCATCTCATTGCTTGTGAGTAGACTATTTCTGCTGCGACGATATGCAGATTTGGCTGGGGGATCGCTGACAAGGCGTCCTAGACATATTTATTTTATCAATTGCAGTCTTTAGATGTGACGCTGGATTCGGGAGCGATCGTCCGACAAGTTGCTTACTTGCAAACAAGTTTTATGCTATCACAATGTTTCTCGTCCATGTTCTTGGGAAAACTGGCCGACTCTCCCAGGGGCGGTAGGAAACTTGTTCTCATGGGGGGCATAGCTGGATCATGTGAGTTCTTGCATCATACGCACTTGTGGATGTGTGATTGGGGACAACGTTCGACCGCTAACATTCGGGTTGGTACATGTAGTTCTCGGGTGCGTTGCTTTTGGTTTCATCACAAATTTCAAGCAGGCGCTGGCATTACGGATTCTCGAAGGTCTAGTCAACGGGAATGTGGCGACAGTGAGGACAATGGTGTCTGAGGTTGTTATTGAGAAACGGTTAGTCATTCTTGAGACTGACTAGAAATCATATAATGGCTAACGAGCTGGGAAGATTCCAGCCTCATGCTTTTTTGTTGCTCCCGATCTCGTTCAATGTCGCCGCCATGGCTAGTCCTCTGATGGCTGGGCAGCTGGCCGATCTGGCGGGGAAATATCCTGACAGGTTTGGGAACAATGCGTTTCTTATAGCGTGGCCGTATGCACCACCCGCCATTCTCAGCGGATGCATCATGCTGTTGGCATTCTTCGCCGTTTTTCTTTTCTTAGAAGAGGTGAGCCCGTACTATTCCACCTGCAATTGCTCACCAAAGCTTACAACTTCCGTTTCTCCAGACTCTTGAGCCATTGAAAGGTAGATACGATCCTGGTGTCGCCTTCACCCGAAGAGTTCGATCACTCATGTTTGGGACTAAAATTCCGGAAGCAACTAGAGCAAGCCATGAAGAAGCCACGGACGAAGAGATGTCACATATGATTGCGGATGACTCTGATCCGTCGGAGAGGGATTCCGAAGAGCAAAAGTCACCACTAAAGGCAGTCAAGATAACTCCCATAATCCTGCCGACTAGGCGCATGTTCACGAAGAACATGTGTCTCACGCTTGTATCATACGCGATCCAAGAGTATCATATCACGACGTACAACACTCTTTGGACGAGTTTCCTCAGCGATCCAGTCGACAAAGAGGGCAAACTCAAGCTGCCTTTCTTCTTCTCTGGAGGAGCCGGCATGAAGCCAGACCAAATTATGTGGTCTCTTTTCATCGTCGGAATGATGGGATTGCCTACACAACTGTTCATCTATCCCCGCATTAGTCGTCGCCTCGGTACCCTCAAGATGTGGCGCAAGTTCATGCTCGGAATGCCGCTACTGTACTTCATCTTGCCTTACATCGCAGCTATGCCATCGACTACACCACCACCAGCTGGCAAAACTGGCTTCATGGTGTGGTTCCTCATCATCCTGGTCCAAATCATGATGGTGGGGACGTCGACCTTCGTGGTACCAGCGCAACTGGTTCTTACCAATCTGTAAGTTGGAAGATTGGACCTCCTTCTTGTGATACTTGCACATATATGCTTACATTCCCTGTTCAGGTCTTCGCCGCATCCATCTGCTTTAGCACGAACTCATAGCAGCGCGTTCTTGCTTTCTGGCTTGATGAGGTCGGCGACTTCATCCATAGCGGGAATCGTGTATAGCTACGGGTCATCCCATAACATCACTGGCTTGGTCTGGTGGATTGCAAGCGGTGTTGCAGTCCTGGGATGTCTGAATAGTCGCATTGTGAACGAAGGGAACGGCCACGAAATCTGGCTGACTGGTGACACTGAGTAAGGTAGAGCGAGGGCTGTTTTACCTTTCGGGCGATTAGTATCAATATCTCAATGAGATGCATGCAACATATCACTTATGGTTCTTTTCAGTGTAAAAGTCCTCTACGCCATGCATACTTGGTGGCTTTCAATTTCTCCCACATCCAACGTCATGGTCAAAACCCGTCCAACCGTTTCCATTGCTGGGACGCCGTTGATACTCAATCGCTCCTTGGCATCGCAATAAAATAATTGTAAGGCGAAACAAGAGTTTTGATTTCAGTGACTAGTCTGCTGTTGAAGCTACTACGTCTAGCGTAATCAAGAAAAACTCCAGCAAATACCGCCGATTTCCTGAGGAGACAATTTGTAACCTTTACCACTACTTGTCTGTTCCATACAATTCCATCAGTTTTGAAGTAATAGAATTCGAACAAGGATTACTCCATGTCCTCGTCAGTCACGAAGGCACGCTTCTCCTCAGTGACAAAGCCTCTCTTGTGGGGCTCAGTGATAAAAGAGCGTTTCTCCTCGGTGACAAATCCACGTTTCTCGGGCTCCGTAACAAAGCTGCGCTTATCCTCAGTAACGAAACCGCGCTTCTCGGGTTCAGTCACAAAGCTGCGCTTGTCTTCGGTCACGAAGGCCCTCTTCTCGGGCTCCGTAACAAAGCCGCGCTTATCCTCAGTGACAAAACCGCGCTTCTCTGTAATAAAAGATCTCTTCTCAGGCTCAGTGACGAAGCTCCTCTTCTCTTCGGTGACGAAGCCGCGCTTCTCGGGCTCAGTGACAAAGCTACGCTTCTCTGGCTCAGTGACGAAACTGCGCTTGTCCTCAGTAACGAACCCGCGCTTTTCGGGTTCGGTGACGAAGCTGCGCTTGTCCTCGGTGACAAACGACCTCTTTTCGGGCTCCGTAACGAAGCCGCGCTTGTTCATCTCAGGCTCCGTGACGAATCCACGCTTCTCCTCAGTAACAAAGCCTCTTTTCTCTATTTCATCTTCGGTGACGAACCCGCGCTTGTCCTCTGTGACGAAGGAGCGTCTCTCTGGCTCAGTCACAAACTCGCGCTTGTCTTCGGTGACGAACGCGCGTGAATCTTTATTTGTTAGTTAAGTAACTCATTTCGAAGAGTGTTTTTCATATGTACCAAGCTCGTCAGTGAGGAAGGCCCGTTTCTCCTCTCTCTGGATGGCCGGTGCAGCAATAGCAGTGGCTGCAAGAATCGCAACGGAAGTAAGGGCGGTGAATCTCATTATGCCGTTATTCACTGATAATAGTAGAGAGTATTTGGTTTATTGTTGTTGTTGCTGTTGTTGTCTGATTGGTTAGATAGTGATGCGGTAAGGTGGAAGACGTGGGATGTAGCCCGGTCATATATGCCGTGCCTACCTCCTCTTCCAGCTTGTCTTGCGAAATCCTCGCCTCAGACGAGCAGACCTAGTCACGTTATCTGCGGTAATTGATTACCTCAAGGTTCGTTGGAATATCTCCATTTGCACATATTAGCTTAGAGAAGACTGATTAATGTTCCGGCTCGAGCCGTACATCCGCGGAACCGCGTATCACCAAGAGCATACCTAGCAACAATGACTCGATTAGGAAAGGTTGCCTTGTAGAATCGCGTTACTTTCTTGCTCCCATGATCCCAAAAAGGATCCCCGCCACGTTTGAGTGCTCGTATGCAGCTCTGACAAGGCCAAGATGATAGTTTGGGCACGCACACAAAACTCTTCCAACCTTGAGCTTGCTGGGTGGGATGACGGAAGCTTAAATGGCGGCAAGTGGGATGCTTTTGAGAACATGTAGTTGCCCTGCTACGTTTGGTTCTGGAAACCATGATCCTTATTGTGAACCTAGTTGTGACGCGAAATTCTGACGACACTGTCGCTCTCGGTTATTGACACTAGTGCTGGACTGACTTTGACTGCCCAATGATGGATTAGTTCCCGATAGTCTAGACTGTGGTTTGTATCGTACTCAGGGTATTATGACTGACTTGAAACGAACCCCGGTGCTCACGCATGAGGGTCAGAGGACTTTACATTTCCTGTTATGTTTTGTGCAATTGCAATGGTAGTGATGCCTTGACCATCATGGCGAGCCCGAGAACGAAGTCATTCGCTATTCATTTTGCTACTAGGTCTACCCCAAAATACTCTATGGAGGGGTTTTATTCCCTTGGCTTGTGATCAAATTCCTTATTCGCCCCGTGGATGTGAGAATGCCCATGGACTTCAGCTAGCTGTCCGTCACTACCAAGCCCCTTCTCCACTCCAGGCTTTAAGTCGAATTGATGAACGGAAATATCGCTAGGTGGTCGACAAGAAGTAAAGCGTGGCCAGTAAGGGATGCTTACATGGTCCTTGGGTCTCGCGTAGTCCTGCATCAACGCATGGTCTAGGCACTGGTGGTAGTCGATGGTGCCAGAGACCAGACCGTGCGCGATCTTGACCTCTTTCTTCCACAGGAATGCACAAGAGTAGAGATGGAACTCCCAAGTCGTCCATGCCTGCCCTTGGTTGATGTTTTCTACCTCAGACCAGGATAGCTCGGTGGTCGAGTTCCGAGACGCAAAGAACTTCCATGGGCGAGTCTGGCGGAACTCGGCATCTAGAGCCGAGTCAAAACATTGCGGAGGTTGCCATGTCGCCGTGTATGACTCGAACTTGCACCCACGTGATAATGCGGCGGGAGCGTCTCTGCCGCAAGGGAATTTGTCCTTGAGTAGGCTGGTGATGAGCCCAAGGTTGGTATCAGAGTGGCCGTGATCCCCGTGTTCGGTCCCGTAAAATGGAGAGAAGGGAACTAGAAGAGTGACAAGGGTGCAGATAGATGAGCCTAGAAGAAAAAGAAGAAGTCGTACACAAGGTGAAAGGCTATTGTCGATATTTCTGTCGAGCCTCATGGTTTTTTCGCGGTGATTTGCCATGATTCAACGATGATAGCGTTGCGTCCTGGAGGTGCGTGATAGGCAATCTCGTCGAAAGGGCAATAGATAAGATATGTCAACATTGCATGACATTTGTTCCTGGTCCAACACCTCGTGGGGTTAATATCTTCCACGTCATCTTCCCTGATTCGGCTTGTAGCTAGGATATGTTGCTCGCTTACAGCAATAACAGGGCGATCAAGAAGAAAGTCTCCGTATCGTCTGCCCAGCTCCTCCTACAGGTCGATTAACTTCCGAAACTGACGTCCATATATCGTTAGTGCAGTTTTAGTGCCCCTTCCAGCATGCAGTTCCACTTGTTTACTCGGTATGATCCCGGTCAGAAGGAACAAGCTCTTCATTTAGGTTCCGTGCTCGGTTAGTCCTTGGGATGTTCTCGACTTTGTGTTTAAGCTTTGAACTGTGATACACTTCACAAGGGCCACGGCGGGAGCTTGGAGAATCTCTCGGGTTCCGCACCCATGCTTTACAGGTGAAGTACTTAGCATTTTTCGTGCATTCTGCCGGGTAAGGTAGTTGTTGCAAAATCTGGAAGGCAGAACTCTCAGTCAAGCAAGCCCATCTCACATATCCTGTAGTCATCGGGAAAAGCTATACTCTTGGGATAGAGGCTGTCAATGTCTTCTTGTACAACTGCCACATGTGAAGCAACGTAATAAACACCACTCTACTGTTTTTACGCGACTTTTCTATCTCAGTACTAAACAATGTCAACCACCACGGAGCATAGCAACGAAGCGGAGGAGAGGCTCTTGTCCTCTCAGTCCAGCAGCTATGATGACGACATACTGGAAGAAATCGCATCCAAGCAAGTGTTAAATCATTATCCAAGACGATTCCCTTGGAGGAAGATCTTCCAAGGAATTGGCTACTCCATATCTGGAGCTATCTTGGTCTTTTCATTTGCTTTGGCGGCATACTTCATAGACTCACCCACGAAGATGTCTACCATCGTTCCAGAATGGAGCGTCGTCGATGGTGGACAGACCTTTCGCGCCTGGGAGCCTTCTTCAGCCTGCGGAACCACGCCCGTCGAAGCCCACGCAGCAGGTTGCATCTACGATGACGTTCTGCTCCACTGGATGCCGACGCAATGCTCTTCTCCCGAGCTTATCGACGAATTTGAGCACGTATGGCCGTGGGAGTTCTTTGAAGACCAAAACGCCACAAGGCCGGTCGCTTTACCGCAGGTTATGGAGGGCACGCAAGACATCAAATGGGTGTCTATGGATCTTCATCGCTGGCATTGCGTCGCAACATGGAAGATTCTCAGCAGCGCCGCACGATGGAAAACGACAGTTCCGGCCTATGCTATTAACTGGAATCACTCGACACACTGCGCCGATCACGTGTTGATCAACATGCACGTCGAAGACCCGTTTGCCATCAACTCACATCTTGACATCGAGTACACACCATGTGTGACTCTAGCAGAGGATAGGTCACTAGAGAGGGTAAGCGAGTGGTGAGACCTTCGTGTCACAGGGCATCTCGCCAGGAAGTCTTTAATTAGGTCAAAGCCATAGCCACTTTAAGGCAGCGTACTTGTGGTGCAATCAGATCAACACAGATAAACACAAAGGAAACATGTTCAATCCCGAAAATGGATTCATAACTCATACCACTTCTTTTGTGAACGAGAGTTGACAGATGTCTTACACACTAATAGTAGCAGAACGATTCTTGGTGGCTGAATAAGACATGTACTCGAATAGGATGCACCGTCCTTCTATTACCTGGTAACTGATTTCACTACCTAGGTTCATCTGGCTTGTAGTGGTCTAAAACGTGACAGCAAATCTCTCTCTAGCTGCCTGACCATATCTTTGAAGTAGCCATGGAACTGGGCAGAGCAAAAGTGAGACGAACCCTAATAGACTACTTCCCCATCCAAGTCCGAGCCGGTTGAACAATGACTCGCCTGCGAGTGGTAGGAATGCACCAACAATACAGCGGAAAATTGTAGATGCCGCTATCGCAGAAGCAGCGTACTTCGTAAACGCGTCAATCAAATATGTGTGCAGCGGCATCTGGGCGCTCAATTAGTGTCTGGAAGGTAACATGAGAAGATTTAGTTAGACCCACCATAATCAGGATCAGTCCGGCTCCAAGAAGTGCAGAACCAATGATGGGGAGTATCCAGTGCAACTTGTACTGCGCAGTCCAGCCGTAGAAGAACAGCCCCAAAGGTGTAAGCAGAATCGACCTGGCCATGATCGGAAGTCGGAATTCAGGCTCACGATGTCCATCGTTGCGTGCCGTTCGTTTATTAGCCATGCGGTCGTTGAAGATTGCGTTACAAACCGCTCCAGCACTGAAGCCTACGCCTAGCCCAAGGTAAACTAAACCGACTGTGCCCAACGAAAAGCCGTACTCCGAAGTGAAGACTGGAGTGAATGTTGTCAAGAGTATGTACTACCTGCCGTCAGTTTCACGCCTCATTAAGTAGATATTCCGTGATACCCACCATGTATCCGTATGCTAAAGCAAGTATGCTGGAGAGAACAAGCACAATTGGGCTCAAGAAAAACATCTTGACAGGCCGCACTAGTGCGTTTAAAAGGAGTGTACTTGGACTCAACGCCGACTTTTCACCCAGCGCTACGAAAATGCTTTCAGGATGAGCTTTTCTCAATGTCACTGCACGCTGATGTAGCAGTCTTGGAGGATACGTCTCCCGCAAACAGAGGAAGCAAATTAACGTAAAGGCCCCGGACTGTGGTTCTTGTTTAGCAAAAGAAATCACGGTACGCAACAAGCACTCACAGGGATCGCAGTGACCCAGAAGATCCATCGCCAGCCTAAATCTTGTGAGATATAGCCGGCCGCGACAGGTCCAAGTGCTGGCCCAAGGATGGGACCGACAAAGTAAACGCTGACCACCAAGCCTCGCCGCTCAGGTCGGATGAGATCAGCTATGGTGCCACCACCGATAGCTAGGGGAGCTGCACCCGAGGCGCCAGAGAGAAAACGGAAGATAATGAGGGCTGGCAAATTTGGTGATACGGCGCTTAGGGCACTAAAGAGAGTGAACAGAACATTTGAACTGTGGTAAATGGGTAGTCTCCCATATAGCTCGGATAGAGGAGCAAAAAAGCTGGCAAGAATTGGTTGATTACCATGACAAGCTTCAATACCTGGAGGCCAAAAGAACTCACATTGGCCCAATAGCATATCCTAGAACAAAGATAGATACGATGAAGGAGGAGAGGACTTTGCTGTCGCTATGGAATTCGGCCATCATGTCCGGAACTCCAGGTGCACACATGGCGGAGGCAATGGACCTACCGAGCCACATCATTCACAGTTAGCTAGTTTCTTTTATCTTCGTTTCCGTTCCGTGTAGGCACCTGGATTGACTTACGCGATAAAGGTCAAGACACTGACAAGTCCTACGTTGATGCATTTTCGAGTTGTTGACCAGTTCATTGGCTTATTTTCGTCTTCCTCCCCATTCCAGTCCACAACGATATCGCCATCTTCATCCTGCCGCTCGGCGCCAATTTCGACCTGCTTCTCAGTAGTCATCCTTGGGGTTTGAGATGTTGCCAGCGATTGTTCTCAGCGATTTGACAAACCAACTGAATCAACGCATACGAAATCTTGGCCAGCCAGGGCAGCGGAAAGTTCAACAGTGACATACTTACTTGGTATTCAATCTAGGGATTCCGCGTATTGTTTTTCAACATGGATTGCCATGTAGGTTCAAACTATCAACAACCCTGAAGCCTCATACAAATTATAGCATCGTCGGGGAAAAGCAAAAGTACCCCGAAACTTTCCTTCTCACCCGAAGTTGCGACGAAGCCCCCACATCACGACTCACGATACTTCAGCTCATCCTAGATGTTCTCTCCCCATCTGCTTCGTCTCGACCAACAGACGTAAGATAGACACGAGCAAGCGGCGAGGATCGTGCCGCCACCCGAATAGAGTTGCCTTTTTTCCGCTGCTACAAGTGTGACTCTTGTATCCGTAAAGACGTGTCTTACGCTCCCCATTTGGAACAGAGTTTTCCACTTTGAGTGTTTCCGGGGCAGCATGCAGGAAAGTATCCCCTCAGAGGTGCAATTAGGCGAAATCATACTCGCTCCTAAACTCCTAGACAGAAACCTTTATACCCGATTATTAACAAACCACGTGGAAAATTTCTGCCTACTAGTTGCCAGTTAGCCGCAGAGTCGAACGTCTATTACAGCCTCGCTTTAGGTTACGAGTAGCCTCAAAACCTCATTGCGGATGTTTCACGGGGTTTCCGCCTCGATTATAGCCATGCTTTCTATTAGACGTGGAGATCTATTTCCGGTAATTCAGTCTGATCACCTCTATTTCTTTACAATATCACAAGTATGTGACAATAGAATCCGCGGTTAGGTCGGCTATCAAGTGGCGTGATCTGATCTCATTAGACTTGGTGTACCAGGCATAAAGACGAAGGATTCGTCATGTGCAACCGAAACCGAAGTTACAGGCACTGTACCAAGGATTACAATCACGAGCTATTCGGCCACCGTTGCCAGGAAAACTCTCTGCAGGCCAGAATCCCTCAACTCCCCCCTAGTCCAATCAACATGATCGAATCCAGATGCCTTGAAAGCATCTCGCCATACCGTCTCGTCAGCCGTTGCATGCTTTCTCCCGTCGCTGAACAACCACCATCCCTCAAACAGCCCAAACACAAAGTCAGCCCAACACAAACGCTCCTGCACCTCCATCACCAGTGCAAACCCGCCAGGTCGTAAGAATTGCCGCGTATTGGTAAGTGACCTTACCATGTCGGGGGTTGCGTGAACTGCGTTTACAGCGATGACTATGTCTTGAGTGCCTGCGAGGTCTACAGGTGGTGGCTTCTCGATGTCCTGTGTTCGATAGTTCATGAAGGGGTATTCTTGGAACTTTCGCGCAGCCTGAGCAATGAAGCCGTGTGCCAGATCGGTGAAAGTGTATTCGACAGGAACTTTCGATTTAGCGAGCAACGGGGCGAGCCATTTGGCTGTGCCCCCTGTTCCAGCTCCGAGCTCTAGGATATTGAGCTGAGAGTCGTGGGGGACGGTGACGGTCTTAGTGAAGCGGGTCATGAAGTCTTCCATGAGCTTGTGAAAGGCCTTGCTCGGATGCGCCGCACCGTAGATGTCTTCAAGATACTCGCGCCCCTCCGGAGATCCAAAAATCGATCGGACGCCATCGGTGCGGCCCACATAGATCTCGGCGAGGTTGTTGCCGGCGTGAGCCACAAGCTTGTTCAGAGATGTATATGTCGGAAAGTCATTGAGCATCTGTTGAAGGGCGTCTTTTGAATTTCCAGTTGGGATGGGTGCATCTGTCCTGATGTATGAATCTCCTTCTCGGCGCACAAGTCCTGCATCTGAAAGCATTTCATAGCAGAAGTCGAGCTGTTTCTGTACGGCAGCGGTGCATTTAATCGGTCTCAGCTTCTGTCCTGGCTTCGTACGCGCAATATCGCATCGCAATTTTTGAAATGATTTTATGATCAGCTGGACGATAAACAATTTTTGTCGAGAATGGACGTTTTCATGATAGCCCGCAAATCCGCAGTCGGTGACAATCCTGTCCGTACTATCTCTCGTTTCTTTGAAGGATTCCACGGCCAGCATTCTGCCGTCTGGTGCTGATTGACTCTGAATCATGACTGCGACTTTGATGAGGAGGATTGGACTGTTGTGTCCTTGATATGGCGCTGCTTTCAACCGGGGCAAGTAGTACGAGAGTGATCATAAGCGCGACGATTCAGTACCGGAGCTGTCAATCCATCACTCATGTGGGGAGGGAGGACCACCGGTCCGGCTCGGAGGTCACTTACTCGTGTCGAACCGCTTCTGGGTGCCTCGAACAAGTGAGTCGCAATTTCATCACTAAAAGTACGTGCAATAGTAAGATAAATTCTACGTAATCCCCGTCAATACGATTAATACGGTACTATTTAAACTACCTTAGCTGGTAGAACTGTTTCCACACAAACGTCGAATGTAGAGAGTAACAAGGTGACGGGTTTTGATCAAGGGTAGCGTTGGAGAGTTTGTACGGGTGTAGCTAATACGCGCGGCTTAGTTTTCCGGTGTCAACTCTCCCACGTCGGCTTCTATTCTATTCTATTATTCCCTTCAATATTCTGCGTTCAATTAGATACCTCCTAAAACAAAAACAGGGTCTATTTTATTCATCTGAATGCTATTGACAACGCGATGTACGTATTCTACTCTGTTGTCGATGCCTCTATCGAAGCGAACTGGGATAAAGCACGACCTGTTGCACTATGATTCCGCGTGGAAGCGTAGGTGAGGCCTACCCCCAAGAAGTGAGTTGCTTGGGTCTGTCTTGATATTCCTGTACAATCTAGGTTCGCCGCTACCTCTCGGATTACCCGGAGTCTTGACTGACTACCTAGAGGTTCCCGAGTCCGGAGCAACACTGATAGGTGAGTGGCTCAATCGGTTCCGAGTTGACGGACCGCATTGGGTCGGATTTCGGCAGGGCGTCGCAGGACTTAGCGAGAGTTACTTCAGGCGGCTTAATGCGCGAGTCAGTGATCGCCTCCCTAATCGACCACTCACTCTCCATAGCTCATGCCTCAAAGAGTTGATGAACTCGGTGCAAAGAGTGAAGACTACCTCACTGTCCAGACTTCTGCTGGTCAGTTTCAGAAACCTTTCTTCGGAAATCGAGGCATCATTCTCACGATACTACATAATTGGCCAAAATGAAGTCTGATATTGAATCTACGTGTACATATCTATGATGCAATCGTGTATACCAACTTGCCAGCACTCACGTTTCCTTGCTTCAGGTACTGGATGCCATGAAGAACACCCTGTAATCCATCGCCGCCTTCATTAACAATTTGCCTAGCAGGCCGAAATTTGTCTTCCTGCAACAGCTTCTCACTTACACCCCAGAACATCTTCCCAAACTCGTAGTCGTCATGTCTAGGCTCAATGACGGTCTCCTTCTCTATTGTCTCTCCTAGAATCGTGTACCCCAAGGTTGTAGAGCATTCGATCTTTGGATTAATCTTCTTGACGATGGAGGGAACCAAGTATAACAGGCTGCTGTAGTGCCCGCCTCGCACCGACATCGCCGCGGCGCATATCCGTGCAGATTGGGCTGTCGCAATGCAGTCCCAGGCGTACCTCAACCTTCCCTTCGTGAAACTCTTAACTTGCTCTGCACAGTCCTCTGCTTTGTAGTCAACGCAGAAGTCAGCCCCCAAAGCCTTCATGTAGTCGAAGTTCTTGGGCGAACAAGTCACGATGACTGTGCAGTTGGACATTCTGGCAAATTGAATGCCCATGATTCCCGACGCAGTGCTTCCGCCGTAAATCATTAGGGGGATAGGCTCTGGTGACGGCTTGGTAGGTAGCGGCAGTGCTAGAGACTGGTAAAGTCCTTGGCCCTACATCTGATTTTAGCGAGGATACGTGAGTAGCGAGCAAGGATCAAGCACCAACCACCGCTACTAGGCCAGACGTAATTGCCGCCGCCTCAGTGTCATCAACATGATCAGGTATCTTCATCTGCAGGCTCGCCTTTGCAATAAGATACTCTGCAAATGCACCGTCTTCCTTCTGTCTCATGTTCCTGTCAGAAGGTCAGAAACATTCTTTATTATGATGGCCCCAGTGGCAGGAAGAAACATATCACTTACGAGCCATTAACAATCCCAAATACTCTGTCGCCAACTTTGAAGTCCTTGTCCACTCCACTGCCGACTTCGACGACAACGCCTGAATATTCGAGGCCTGGTCGCGTTCCAGTGGGATTGCCAACCCACATGAAGTCAATGTGCTTCCAGTCAGATGGATTGATGGCGACAGCAGTAGTTTTAACGAGGATGTATCCATCTCGTAGCTGGGGAATAGGCGCAGTGGTTATTGCCGCCTTACCACGACCTTCAATGATGATAGTCTTCATGTTGTCTGGGAGAGTGGAAGCCATCGTGGCCCAAGATGTGCGCTGATGAGTGATGCCGAATTTTCGGCTGTGGCAGCGCTGTAGGAGAGCTATAGGTTGAATCTCCCTCTGCTGGCGCGAACGTTACATGACACTCAGGTACATGCCCTAATGAAGTGGGAATTGAATTCCATCTATCCAAGTAACTTGCCTAATTCAGTGGCCGATGTCTCTCGGAGTGATGAACTTGATGCTATAATCCATCTCGGACCGCAGATTGTGCAAGGACCGGGCCCTCATGAGGTGTTCGCAAGTCGATTCTTGCAGCCAATCACATTAGACGGAAACAGTATGGTTCTCGGAATTCGAGCAATAGACTTTCGCAAACCTCGGACTCAACCATTGTGGCAACATAGTGGAAGTCTTCTGGAATACCGAAATCAACTCCGTCGCGACCTTGTTCATCTCTTGTTAAGATGCTCTACATTAGCGTCGAACTAATTTGGTTGGCCTTGTAACCCAAACCATAATACACAGCCAAAACTACACGATATCCTTTACTAGGCTGGCATTTGACTCTCACTCAGCAGGCGTTTGCGGGCTTTTACCATCAGTTCGGTACCAAAATTCAAACAATGTCACCAAAGTCGGGCGCCGCCACGCCTTCATCCGAGATGGACACCTCCGACCCAATCGCCATCGTGGGAATGGCCGTGAGGCTTCCCGGTGGCGTGAAGAACACAGAAGACTTCTGGAACCTGATGATGAATAAGCAAAGCGGTCTCATCCCCATCCCTAAAGAGAGATGGAACAGCGAAGGCTTCTACAGTCCTGTTGCGAAATGGGGAACCGTTCAAAACAAAGAGGCTTACATGTTCAGCCAAGCCGATAATGACCTTACAAAGTTTGATGCCTCTTACTTCACATGTGGTGAGAAGGAAATCGAGCGCATGGACCCCATGCAAAGACAACTGCTAGAGATCGCGCGCGAATGTCTGGACAATGCCGGCGAGACTAACTGGCGCGGCCAAGAGATTGGCTGTTACGTCGGCAACTTCTCATCAGATTGGCAAGATGACTTGTCCATGGACCCGCACGCTTCTGGCCTATACCGAGGATCTGGCTACCTCGACTTCTTACAGCCTAACCGTGTGTCATATGAGTATGGCTGGACTGGCCCGAGGTCAGTAGCATATCCTATGTGAGTAAAGCTTCGGAAAGACTAACATCCTTCAAGTATGCTTGTCAAGACTGGGTGCTCCTCATCCATGGTCGCTCTACACCTAGCTGCTGAAGCCGTTCAAAACGGAACCTGCAAGTCGGCAATGGCTCTTGGATGCAACCTCATCACATCAGTCATCACATCTATTGTCTTCACAGAAACCGGTGTCTTGTCTCCCAGCGGCAAATGTAAAACCTTCGATCTGCTTGCCGATGGGTACGGCCGCGGTGAAGCCGTCAATGCTGTCTACGTCAAGAGACTAAGCGATGCTCTAAGAGACGGTAACCCAGTCAGAGCCATCCTTAGAGCAAGCGGCACCAACAATGATGGTCGATCCAACGGTATCATGAGTCCAAACACTTACTTGCAAGAGGCCTTGATTCGAAAGACTTACGAGAAGGCCGGTCTACCATTCAACAAGACGGCCTTCTTCGAGTGCCATGGCACTGGTACTCCTACTGGTGACCCGCTTGAGGTGGCAGCAGTCGCTCGGATCTGGAAGGATCACGATGGTGTGATGATTGGTGCTGTAAGTCCACCATTACTCAAACCAGGCTCGAGGTCTTCTTCTAACGTTACCAGGTCAAACCCAATGTCGGACATTCAGAAGGTGCGGCAGGCTTGACAAGTGTCATCAAGGCAGTCCTCGCGTTGGAAAACCGAGTGATTCCGCCAAACATCTACATGGAAAACCCCAATCCAAGGAGTGAGTCCATCCAAAATAGCCTGCTCATCACAAACTAACATCATCACAGTTCCATGGAATGAGGCAAAGCTTTCGGTTCCAACCGAGCCAACTTTCTGGCCTGCAGATAGAGACGAGCGTATCAGTGTCAACTCTTTTGGTGTAGCTGGCTCCAATGCTCATGTAAGATCGCTGTACTTATCCTTGCGAAAATTCCCGCTGATTGTTTTCAAGGTCATTCTGGAGTCGTACGAGGGTTGGCAAAAGCTTCAAGATGATGCCAGCTCCATCAGCTCAGACTCCGGCGTTAGCGTTCGCTCTCTTGGCCAGCGACTCTTGTTATTTTCCGCTGCCCACTTGAATTCTCTCGAAAAGCAGGTGGACCAACACAAGCAATACATTGAGACAAAGAGCGCTGATTTGGACGACCTTGCTTACACTCTGGGCCATCATCGTGACCACCTCAGCTGCAGGGCCTATGCTATTGCCAACGAGGAGGGCGCCTTTGACCCGAGCAGCTTCAAGCGCAAGCCAACCACCGCCCGGCGGCTCATTCTTACCTTCACTGGACAGGGTGTACACTGGGCTGGTATGGGGAAATCTCTGATCGAAACCAATGAGGTGTTCCGTGGATCCATCAGGAAGCTAGACATTTGGCTCCAGTCACTTCCTGAAGAACACCGGCCAACCTGGACCTTGGAGAAGGAGCTGTGTATCGACGATGACTCTAGCAGGGTTGGCCAGCGAGGATACTCTCACCCTTGCGCAACTGCCGTTCAGATAGCGTTGGTCGACGTTCTCGCTAGCCTCGGGGTTCGTCCTGATGCTGTTACTGGCCATTCTGGAGGAGAGGCTGCTGCTGCCTATGCCGCTGGCAGTGTCTCTGCCGAAGCGGCCATGGCAGTTGCCTACTTCCGTGGCTGGCTCTTGGTCAATGGCACAGTTCCCCATGGTACCATGGCTGCTGTCAGTCTTGGCCCGAAGGAAGTCGAGCCTTTCTTAATCCCAGGTGTGGTTATCGGGTGCGAGAACAGTCACCTCAACTCCACGCTGTCAGGTGACCCTGTATGCATCCAACACTGCGTTGACCAGATCATGCGCCGCCACCCCGACGTCAAGGCCAAGGTTCTCAACCTGGAGACATCCTTCCACTCCCCATGGATCGAGCCTTTGGCAGGGCCATACGAGGAGCTTCTGAAGCCATACCTCGCCGATGCCAAGGCTCCGACAGTTCCCCACTTCTCGAGCGTCACCGGTCTTGAGATGACCGAAGCTGAGTTTGGAGCCAACTACTGGCGACGAAACTTTGTTCAGCCTGTGTTGTTTAATACGGCGATGCGGGCGATCTTGAAGAGTAACAACAACAACCTCTTTGTTGAGGTCGGCCCCCATCCGGCTCTTCAACGCCCCATCAGTGAGATTCTTCGCAACGTACCCGAGTCTTCCTGCGAATACATCAGCACTCTCCGCCGTGCTGAAGACACTAACCTGTCTATGCTCCGTCTGGCTGGCGAGCTCTTTGTACAAGGAGCTCCGGTCGACATGTCCACTATCATATCCAAGGGCAGAGTTTTGACTGACCTGCCGACCTATCCTTGGCTCCACGACGTGACTTATATGGATGAACCTCGAAATCCTTCCCGTTACAAGCAAAGAAAGCATACCAGACACGTGCTTCTCGGTGCTAGAGTTCTTGAGGGCAATGATATTGAGCCTGCCTGGCGAAACATGCTTGACCTCAAGGAAGTTCCGTGGTTGATGGATCACATCGTCAATGGTCAGATCGTCTTCCCTGGAGCTGGCTACGTGGCAATGGCGGGAGAAGCCATGCGTCAGGTAGCCAGTGGCTCAGATGCGTACACCATTAGGGATATGTCAATCATCACTGGCATGACTGTTCCTAAAGAGAAGAAGATGGAACTTTACACGCGCATGATTCCGGAAGACAAGCCAAGCAATGAAGGCCAATGGTACAACTTCAAGATCATGTCCTACGATGGATACGCCTGGGTCACGCACTGCTCCGGCTTCATCCGTTCTGGAGCTGAGGCAGAGAAGACCTCTATCACAAACTCTCAAGCCCAGCAAGAATTTGCTCGCGAGATCGACGCTGAGGGCTGGTACAGGGCCGTAAAGGCCGTTGGCATTGACTGGCAGACCGCCTTCCAAGGGCTTGAGCAGATCACCGCGAACACAGTCAACAGGGAAGCCACAGCGACAGTGTATGACTTTGAAGACACAACGCACTATGCTGCTCATCCGACGCTCTTGGATCAAATGCTTCAGATTAACCTCGTGGCGCAGACGCATGGCCAAAAGCGGCGCCTGGACAGCATCCTGCTCCCTACTTTCATCTCGCGGCTGGGTGTGCTCGGGAACCAGGACCTCTGTATGAGAGCTTATGGCAGTATACAGGAGGATGCTAAAGGCATGAACGCGAACGCTGCAATCTACACAGATGAAGGTCGTCCCACGGTGTATCTGGAAGGCCTCTCCTACTCTGAGCTACCTGTCGCCAAGCGCGAAGAAGTTCTCCTTGGAAGCACCTTTGAATGGCGAGAGGACATTACCATGCTGGACTCCCTTGCAGAAGTTGGGATCACCAACTCAACCTTTGCCAAAGACATTACCGAAGCAATTTCTCTCCTCGGCTTCAAGTCTCCGGACTCGAAGGTCTTGGAGATTGGATCTGGATCAACCGACATTACTCGACTTGCTCTTAATGCTCTGCAACCTACCCATCACAAGCGACTTTACTCCGAATACACCTATGTGTGCACCTCTGAAGAGCAAGTTGAACAAGTCACAGAGTCTGTTGCGACTCTAGAATGTGATAGCGTCTCGGTCGTTGATCTCGAGCAACTTTGCATGTGCAACACGACTGACATTGTCCTCTCGTCGCTTTCGACCTTGTTGTCGGACGACCGCTACTTGCTTGATGATTTGACAGAGCTCAAATCACTTCAGACTGCTGGAAGTCGACTGGTCATTCACAACGACGGCATTGCAACCGGCGAAACCTCCAATAGTGAAAGGATCAGCCAGAGACTGAACAGCCTTGGCTACGTCCTTCATTCACAGACATCGACTGGTTTGATACTCGCTGAGCCAGTGAAGCGTGTCAAGATGGAAAAGAGCACAAACGTCACCATTCTGGCATACGACTCGAAGGAAGGCAATGACCTAGCCAATGGCGTCAAGTCACAATTCGAGTCCAAGGGGTTTACTGTGCAAGTCTCCCACCAGCACACAGTTCCTGCAGATGGGTCTCTCGTCATCTCACTCCTGGATCTTACTGGAAACACAATTTACAATCTGAGCGCCGAGACATTCCGACCTTTCATGGACAGTCTATGCAACTTGCGCGGTTCTCTCATTTGGGTCATCCCTACTGTTCATGGCGTTTGCAAGGATGCCGAGCCAGCCATGATCCAGGGCACTGCCAGGACCGTTCGCATGGAGAACAAGGCGGACATTACTCTTGTCGAAGTCGATGATATTTCAAGATCAGGAAATGGCATTTCCAAAGCTCTATTCAATATTGTTCAGAGCCTGCCAAATCGTCGCAAAGGCGGAGAGTTGGATGCGGACTTTGACTACGCCATCGTGGACGGCAAGGTTCAAATCCCTCGCATGTACTGGTTCGGCTTCTCCGAGCCTGAAATTAGCAAGACGCTTCCATCAACGAAAGAAGCTCCCATGTTTCGGGAAGACGTCTCGTACCTTCTTATCGGTGGGTTTGGCGGCCTTGGTCGATCTGTGGCCACTTGGCTTCTCGAGCATGGAGCTCGCAACCTCGTCTTCCTGTCGAGATCCGCTGGCAGTGCTGATAACGAGCCCTTCGTTAAAGAGCTCGAGAGCTATCCTGGCTCCGTTATAAAGACAGTTTCCGGAGACGTCAGCAATGCCGATGACGTTCTCAAGGCAATCAATGAAGCTCCCAAGCCCGTCGCCGGAGTGATGCAACTATCTCTCATTCTCAAGGACAACTCCACTGCTGATATGACTTGGGAGGAGTGGAGTGGAGTAGTTGATCCTAGGGTCCGTGGTACCTGGAACGTACATCAAGCACTTCTGGATGCGAACATTCCGTTGGACTTTTTCGTCATCTTCGGCTCTGGTGGTGGGCACACTGGTTACTATGGCCAAGCCAACTACAGTGCGGCCAATACCTACCTTGACGCTTTTGTTGAATACCGCCATCACCTTGGTCTTCCAGCCTCCATCATCGATCTTGGTGTGGTTGGTGACGTCGGATACCTCCTCGAGCGGGACGATCTCTATGAGGGCTTCAGGAATGGTGGCTTCTTCTTCTTGAAGGAGCAGGACGTTCTCGACTCTGCGGCCATCGCTGTGGCTAATTCCTCCGGAGGGCCGTACAGCAGCTTCTGTCTTGGAGGACTCTCTGAGAAGCCCCTTTCTGACCCCTCTAATCGTGTCAACTGGAAGAGAGATGTTCGCTTCGCTCAGTCTCATTATTTTCACAAGTCGAATGTCGCAAGCCCTGGAGAGGCTAAGGAGAATGATGAGGCCGAGACATTCATCTCGCTCGCCAGATCAGATCCCGCTACTCTCCGAGACAGCGCGACAGTCACGAGCCTCGCTGGCTTCATCAGTGCCACTCTCAGTCACCTTATGCTGAGGCCAGTTGAGGATTTCCCCCTTACTGAGAATTTGACCTCGATTGGTTTGGATTCCATCATTTCGATCGAGTTAGTGGACTGGATTCATCAACAATTTCACATTGGTTTGACTTCTATGGAAGTCACGCAGTGTACTTCTTTAATGCATCTCGCTGAGAAGATCATCGAGGAAGTCATTTCATCCGTGTGATTAGAGTAAATTGTCATCAGACCTTTGTGCAAGGGTGCGATTCTCGAGGGTGGCAACATCGTTGTCTTCATTAGGCTAGCTTTATAGTTAGGTCATAAGAAATTCAAAGAGACTGTACGTCTTGTTTCCAGTCCAGAATTCGCAACCGCTATGAAAACACAACTGTCAGACTTTATAACCTCTTCAATCATACCTGAAGCCCGACTCTTTCAGTAGAGGTGGAAGCTGGTATTGACGTGCATAGACGCCTCAGCATTCCACACGAGTTGCGACTTCACACCAAATTGAATCGGTATCGAGAGGAAACATGTTTAGAACCTTTATAAATCGCTATTTCCGAAGTCTACAAGTATGTATCATGCTATGGAGCTGTTTGGTCTCATCTCTACTACTTCTTCATCTAGCTCTCTTTCGTCGGGTTCTCTTTCATCAAGGGAATCTTGCTCTACTACCTCATATCGACCTTTTCGTAGCCATTTCCACTCCTTTGCTGAAGAGACAACGATCAAGCTGGTTACGACGCCGCCTATTCCAATCAAGGTCAACAAATTAACTTGAGAATGGAATACAATCCAATCCAGTAACAACGCCCATCCGACTTGAGAGTAAATCATGATGGTAGCAGCTGATGAGACGTCATTGGCTATGCCTGCAGTGAGGAGAAACTCCTAGAAACGCACGTAGTGTTATTCAAGAACGTGTAACAGTATACTTGCCAGGATTTTGTATACTAACCATTATAAAACCGAAGATGCCAAGAGGTATCAACTTTACCCACGACAGAACTGTCGTTGTGAGATGAACGCTATCCATCAGGAGAAATGCCACTGTGGAAACAATGTGTCGTGATGGCTTCAACCATCCATGGCCTCACCGCATGTCACGTGACCTCGGTTACATAATCACCCGAGGTCCACACTCGCTTACACTCTCTATTTCAGGGCGAACCTCGTGCCCATTTCCTACTTTCAATAGATAAC